ATAAGAATCAGTACAGTAGTTCATTAGCATAACACACAGAGAGAAAAGAAGTCAATAAAACAACATAAATAAGAACTTATGTATCGTACTTCAACAAGACATGGTAAAGTTAAACTATGCACTTGGGTCATTTCTCTTCATTTATGCACCTTGTTACTATGCATCTGGTGTTATGTTATAAGGTGCAAGAACAAATAGGATGAATGACTTTCCAAAACCTAAGTCAACCTTGAAAACAAGTCGTATTTAATAATCCCCACAATAGATTTGTTCTGAAGGTTCTCTCGTATATGTTAGGAACATGGGGAAATTTGTATACCAATTAGTTCAGAAGTGTTTCAGTTACAGTATAAATGCTTACTGTAATCTTTTATGAACTAACGCAAATTTATGTTTTTAACGAATTTCCCATATAGAGAATAAGCTATTACCCTAGTATACTCATGGTAAGACCTTGACCCAGGACGGATTTACTTTTTCCTTTTGAGGTCCCTAGAGGCCAAAAACACCATCCATTCAAATTCATATACAGGGTGATCAACTCAAGGAGGCCACCATTGGGATATCGGAAACGGTAAGAGTTAGAGAAAACTTTAAATGGGAGACATTCCTTTATTTTTTGTGGCAGTTAAAAATATGATTTTAGTTTTTCAAAATTCAGCCGCCATTTTCCAAAATGGCGGCCAACTTTGAAATTTCTTATAGAACACCCTGTATTTTATCATGTTTTCGGATAGAACGTGCAATTTAAAAACTTTTTTATTCTTGACATTTTTTCGATAAACCCACTCGTTTAGGAGTTAGAGCCTATGGAAAAATGACTTACGGTGTACATTTTACATCATGTAGCTCCAAAAAAAGTAGGTTTATAGCTAAAATGCGAAGAGTAAATAAGTCAAATAAGTCTTAAAATTGCATCCACACTCCAAAAAGTCCATAAAATTCGTTAAAAATATTAATTCTATTATTTAAAAATGGCGGCCATTTTCCAAAATGGCGGCAAACTTGAAAAGTGGAAAACTGTGTATTTTATGGTCTTAATGGAATGTGGATGCAATTTTAAGACTTATTTGACTTATTTACTCTTCGCATTTTCGCTATAAACCTACTTTTTTTGGAGCTACATGATGTAAAATGTACACCGGAAGTAATTTTTCCATAGGCTCTAACTCCTAAACGAGTGGGTTTATCGAAAAAATGTCAAGAGTAAAAGAGTTTTTAAATTGCACGTTCTATCCGAAAACATGATAAAATACAGGGTGTTCCATAAGAAATTTCAAAGTTGGCCGCCATTTTGGAAAATGGCGGCTGAATTTTGAAAAACTAAAATCATATTTTTAACTGCCACAAAAAATAAAGGAATGTCCCCCATTTAAAGTTTTCTCTAACTCTTACCGTTTCCGATATCCCAATGGTGGCCTCCTTGAGTTGATCACCCTGTATAGGTATATATTTATTTAGATATGTGTCCGTTAGTATGATAACTCGAGCAAAAATGATCCGATTTTGATGAAATTTGGTATGAACGTGTAAACCTACATTTATTCGAACGAGTTCGCAAACCAGCATGATCGGACTACGGGAACGGGTGTTTATGGGGGGTTTTATGGGGTAAAAATTGGTTTTTCAGATTTTTGACCCTAAAAACAAAAAATATAGCAAATTATTACCAAACCATAAAAAAAACATATAATTTAGTATAGCCTATTGAAACTTTACAATGCGCCTAATGTTTACAGAGAAAATTCCAAAATGTTGTAAATTTAAAATTCCCATGCTATTCTTATGCAGAAGAAGTAAACTGTTGTAGTTTACTTGTTTATGAACATATTTTGATCACATTTGGAAAATGCATTTATTTCATACTAAACTAGGGCCTATTAACATTTTACAAAATACACTTCATTACTTTTCGGTTGCAGCAAACCTAAGTACTAGGTTGCATTTAAATGCTATTTAAATAGGGAATAAATGTGATATTTTCAAGGAGACATTTCAACATAGGCCTAAATCAAATCAGACAAATGGAAATTCGCTTAGTCTGCAGGTTTACTGCAGCGGGGATATTTATATTAACAACCACTATGATCAATAAATATATTATTAATAAATGTGTTAGCTGCACTGTCTTTAACGGTTTAGGCTAAAAATACAGACATTTAAGTAAACGAACTTGCACGGAGAAAACAGGGAATAATATCTAACAAAATGCATTTTATAAAAAAAGACTCAACAAACAGGCTAATCTCTTTACAAGGAAGATAAGCTGTTATTTTTAAGTGCGGTTCTTCTGAGAAATATAAATGAGATGAACTAGAACAAGCACATTTCGGCACCTAACTTTACAAGGTTAACTTTACTTTCCTGCTTGCTCAGCTCAAACCCCAAACCGTCTGTATCGATTAATGTACTTTTCGCTGCAATGTACAAGAACTAAACGTAGGCCTACAATTTCACTTTTATGTCCGAGGGGAGACACAGAGTAATGTACAAGTATAATACAATAGGCTAAACCATTATTTTTTAGACATACCTAAGTCTATCCATAGATAAAAGGAGTTATAGACACCTATTGTCGGGACCACATAAGTTTGCAGTTGAGGGAGGAGCCTATTTACCATATGGTTTTGAATGAACCAATGAGAACGGTGCGGTGTTGCCAAATCTAATAATACCAGCTGATTTGAAAATATTGCTTTTATATTTTAATTAGTGTTGTCAATGGGCGATGTGGCAACGTCGCACTAGCCTTGTCTTGTGATTGGCTGCCACCAACTGCAAACTTACGTGGTCCCGACAATAGATACCCCACGCAATGCTAATATGTGTTAACAATTTTTGGTCTAAAACAGACTAGATCCTAGGCGGCGCTGGTCTCAAAACCGACTAACCGCGGTTGGCATGTCGTGCAACTTAGTCAGTCGACCGGCCAACTCAGCCGGCTGGGAACTGTCTAGGGCCTACCCCTTTAATCTAAAGTCTATCTTACTGTAAGCTAAGCACACTCAAAGTCCAATTTCCTAACCTGCCTTGTGGCAAGGCTACAAAATTGCTAAGCCGTCCCTTACTATCTGTCAATTTGCTGCTTCTATGTTAAAATTATCTGATCAAATGTTGTGATGCAACTCTAATAGTTATTTACAATCAAATAGGCCTAGATTATTTAATAATTGAACACTGTCTTTAAATTAATTCTTGTCATCAGTAAGTTAATGAAAGGAGAAAGTAAGTTAGCCTAACTAATTTAAATAAAACACACACAATTTTGAAGATAACACACACAATTTTGAAGATCAAACATACAAAATAACACAGACATAGGCTTACATAATTTCAACCAGCTTTAAGATGATAAAATATAACTAAAGGGTGATTAATTTTTAACCCACACTCTAATTGAATATTACCGTGCTAACTTAACTAGGGTAATAAAAAGGCTAGAACTGAGCAAAAAAAACCTTTGTCAGCAAATATCAAAAGTGACAGGAATTGCTGGATCTATTTACAAAGCACTCAAATAAAACCCACTCTAGGCTTAGGAAGCAAGAAATACATTTCCTGACCTTTCATTGAACCGTCATAATGGAAGTGGTAGGGGAAGATACAAGATTTCCTAGCGAAGGCTGAGCTCAAGCTGGAAGATCATATTGAAACTGAGAGTTTTTAATTTAAACTAAGTTAACTTGTTAACTGGTAGCTTTAATTAAATCATTCCAGAGCAAATTGATTGTATGGGCACAGTTTCTTAACTGGACTACGCTGATATTGATTCAAACTATTAATTCAATTAGTAAAACTTCATTCAATTTTTTCATTATCAGCAAGTTTGGTCATGACAGTTTCATTTTATAATTGATAAGTTAGTTAAAATATTGATTTTTTTAATCAATAGTTTTAATCAATATTAGCGTATCCTAGTTAAGAAACTGTACCCAATTGGATTAGGCCTATGTGGAGTATTCTTGAAATCTGATATTACAGCCACATTACAGTCATTAAAATCATTTACCTAAATAATTTACAGAATAAAGTTATGTTTTAGTCTCAAAAATTACTCCTTTAAGTTAGATTTTTGAAAGAAAAAATAACTGACTAAACAAACCCTTTCTTTATTATTCAAGTTGTTATTAATGCAGTTCAACTTCCTTAATGCGCAAATTGATGCTCTAACCATTGATAGATCGGACTAGGCAGATAAGTTTTAAAATAAACTTTTAAGAGTGGTCATAGGTTGCAGGCCTACCTAGATAGATTTTTGTTTTGGGTAGAATTTCATAAGTAAGTTAAAGCCAAAAACAATGGAATGAAAATATTGTATCGATTAATTTGGTATATCGATTATTTCATTCGGTTAGTTAGGTTAGGTTAACCTAATTAACCAAACTTGATATAGGGCCTATCGAATGAAATAATCGATAGGCTAAATCGATATGTGTATGATAGGCCTATTCATTGGATTGTTTTTGGCCCCACTTATTAAAGTCTACCCTTTATTTTTAAAAGGCATATCTATGAATAAGTTAAACTGTAATTATGTTCTTATTGTAAATAGCATTGATGTGGGATAAATAAATCATGAGTCATATTTCCAAGAGCATCAAGGATTTTTTATAACCCTGGCAACGTAACAAGCTTATGAATTAAGTTAAGTGTAACAAATATTTAAAAATAGCCTATTTTTTCCATTCTATATTGAAAATCTATAACTTAACAGCCCATATGCCTAAATTTAGGCTATGTGTTTGTTGCATTAGGGTAGGTAACTTAATAACAGAAGAATTAATACCCTGATAAAACTAATCTTTCTAAAAGAGAAAAAAATGGTAAAAACCATTCATTATCCAATAAAGTTTTGATTAAGTTATTACAAAATCCACAAATAATGGAACTTTTAAATCAAATCATCAGGGTCATCTGAATGAAATAGGGCCTAGTCCTAGTGCGATTTTACAAGATAAAATTTATAGGTTATGTAATATGATTATTTTATTTGTACTTACAAAATTCTTAACTTGGAGGCAAAGCAGTGGAAATCTTTGTTTAACACCACAAAAATGAGTACGTAAACATATTAATAACGAAATTTTGCTCAATCACAGACATTTCTCACTCAACTCAAGCTTTCATTAAAACAGCTGTCAAGGCCAAGGAAATGACAAGTAAAAAAATATTGCTTGTCATGTCCAACTAACAGATTGACATACCTAATGCAACACAGTGCAAGGGAGAAAGTGATTTTGACAGCTGTATTTCCACACTTAGTATCATGGATTAAACATACTCTCCTTTTTTAGGGGAGAGGAGGGAAAATGCTTTTACGCACACAGGTAGCTAGCCTGTAGTGTGAGTGTGAGACTCCTGAATTTATCAGACTACTCACTAAAACCCCCCTCTACTCTGTTAGACACAGACCTGGAATTTAATACTTTAATACTTTTCTTTGAAATGGCGACCATACAGAGTGAATGGAGATGAGTGTAGGATGAGTGGCGCGATCTTATTGTCTTGTTAGTGACTAAGGCCGACATATCCTTAGAAACAGCTGATAATTAATAGCCCATACAGCTAATGGCAACTAAGGGACCTACAGTTTATAGTGGACTCATAACCACATTTCTGCCTTGGTATATACAAATTTGTCTAATTATCAGGATAGTACTGCGGATATTCGTAGTACTCACTCGTGCGGACGTTAATCCACACCAGGGAGTATCACATCCACAGTGCATGCCTATAAATATCCACAATTCGCAAACTCAGTAGCTGGATTACAGGACGACGCCACCCGTCCCAGTTTAATTGTTTGTCACATTACTTCAAGTCAGTCCAACATGTGACCTAAGACCTCAGGGCCAGGACTCGTACCGTCTCCTGGTATTTAGATTATTTATGACCTACACTCAAGGTCGAGCTTCTTGGTGTGGAGAATATACCCTGGATATGTAATGTGACACACAGGTCCAATTGTCCTCACCCTCCATCATCATCGGCATGACTGTGTCTACCGACAGCAGTCCTACGAACCTTCGAGCCTCCAGGCGGGGCCTTTCCCAACGCTGGCAGTGAAAAAGTATATGTTCCACGTCATCGGGAATCCATGGGCAGTATATGCAATCGGGTGACACGACTTTGCCCATCCTGAATAGACGACCGGAAAAAGCCGTGACCCGTCAAAAAATGGGTGAGGTAGGAGTTCACCGCTCCGCACCACAGATTAACCCAAGGTTGGACTGTACTCGTATCAGTCGCCCTGGTCCAGCGTCCCCGTGTCTCCTGTTCCCTGCTCTCCTGACACAGCTGGTAGGTGCGAGTACGTTCCTCTGTTCGTGTCTGATGGTCCTTCCCACGGCGCTGATAAGTTGCCTTTCTCTCCGCCGCCAAAATTTTGACGGAGATGACTCCAGCAAACATAACCAGGTCGGCGAGTTCGGACACTGTTCGGTATGCAGATGCTACCCTTAGTGCTGCCTGACGCTGCACTCGGGCGAGCCGCTTATCCTATATACTTCCTTTATTGAGAGCGTCTACCCACACCTCTGCACCGTACAAGAGTACGGGCTGGACCGAAGACATTATAAAGCCTTCTACGACTGGACCGAGGCCCTCCTTCCGGCATTGCTCATCAACCGGCTAAGAGAAGAAACAACCCTAGCGGCCTAGTCCATCGTACGGAAGATCTGAGCCCGCAAGCTAAGCATGCTGTCCACCATGACCCCAAGATACTTGGCAGTACGAACGGTTTGGACTTTGATGGCCCCCACCCTCAAAGGCACAATGGTGTCAATCCTTTTTTTGTCAAAATCGCGATCTCGGTTTTGCTCATAGCGAGCGAGTGTTAGCTTGGTCTGACATCCATGCGTTTATGGTACGCATAACTCGGTTCAGCTTTAGCTGAGTCAGCTCAATGCTTCGTGCAGCAACGTCGTCTGCGTACCCAACCAAACCAGTTTCCTCAGGCATTTCAGACATCAGAAGGCTGTCATAAGAAACTTACCAGAGGTCTCGGCCGAGTATGCAACCTTGGGCGGCACAAGAAGTGACACTCATCGTCCGCGGGCCTTCCGTAGTGTCATACATGAGGAGGCAGAACCGGAGATAATCCTCTATGATGCACATAAACTTATGCCGGAACGTGGAAGGTGTTCTTCAGAGCGTCCAGCATACCACACCATCTCACAGAATTAAATGCGTTTCGCACATCGAGTGTACGAGCAGCACAACCCTGAACCCTACGAGAGTAGTGGTTAAAATCCTCAGATCTCACCACGGCTTGCCTCACCTCCTCAATAGCGTCAACCGTAGATCGCCACATCCTGAATCCATCCTGACGAGGGGACAGGTCCCTCGCAGCGACCACGGTTGAATTCAGCTGGGAACGGATCAACCTCTCGAGGAATTTGCCAGCCGAGTAATTTAGATCAGCGCAATCTGTAGGTGGCTCACATCATTAAGACAAATTTTATTAAAAACTTGGCTACAACTTTAACATTGGGATGGAATGTCTAATTGCTCTTTTAGCAGCAACTAAATGCTTGTCGTCATTACAGCTGTTAAACTGGCTTAAATCGCTTACAGCGTAACTTATATCAGGACGTGTACATACCGATACATACATTAAGCACCAATTAATTTTTTATGAAGACTATTTTCATTAGGTGTCTCGGATTTGGACAATTTGTGTGACTCACAAACAGGGGTGGCTAAAGAATTACATTAGCTCATTTTTAGTTTATCAATAATATCTTTGACATACGATTTTTGGTCTAATTTAATTTAACCTTCCTTTCTATTTCTAGTTACCCTCATTCCAAGGCACTCTTTAATAGCGCCAAGATCTCTCATCTTGAAATAGCAATTGCAACTTAAGTTTACTCGTTCCATCGACCGAGTTGAAAAAAAAAATCATCAACATGTAAACCAATATAACAATAAGAAAATCATTAGACTTCTGACTTCTTAATATATACATGGATCATACTTAGAGATTGACAACAGTAGTTCTGTGATTCGAGAAAGGAATGAATTTTGTCGTTCCAGCATCGAGCTGCCTGCTTAATCTCGGGAGCAGAACCTGTACCTCTTAACCTCCACTCTTTGAACTGTCAAATTAAAGTATTTACAGTTGACTTCAATGAATATATTTGTTTATTTAAATTCTTCCAATAGCTCCATAAGCATGACATAAAAACTTTACAGGCCAGTGGGGCTAAGCCACTGGCTAAGCCCTAAGGTTAAATACATAATTGAATATGCCTATATTTTAATCGAGACAAAGACGAATAAAACAAATCAAAGATCAATAAAATAGGTCCGGCCGTTCTTGAGTTAAAAGTGGTGTAACCAAAAGCATTTGTAATCTTTGGTGTAACTAACACGACTTTGTTTGTTATATATATATCGACCAACAGAGTACCCGTCCTTCGTCCTTCGTACGGGGTTGGCGTATAAGTATAAAATGCTTATTGAATAAGAATAAGAATAAGAATAAGAATCGTTTATTGCCGTTAAACATGTACATGCAATGGGCAAAGTCACATTTTTACAATATCTTAGCCTACTTAAAAATAAACAGATGTATAGGCCTAGACCTTAACACTGAATGGTAACATTGAATCGTTGAAAGTCATTTTCAAGAACTCGTTAACACTATACATGGGGTTTTCCACTAACCAATCTGACAAAACTCTCTCAAATTTACTATTACTAACTTCTTTTGCGCTATGAGGCAGTTTGTTAAACAAATTAATACTAAGAACATTGAAAGACTTGAGGGTTTTACTTAACCTACAATGTTGCCTATAAATATGATGACTAGATCTTGTGAAATGGTTGTGGATTTGGTTTGACAAAGTGAGGTTATCTAAATTCTTCTTAACATAACATAAACACACAAAAATATATACATTTATCACAGTTAAAATCTTGGCTTGTTTGAACAAGGGCCTACAGTGCTCATCAGGGTCTACATTAAATAAAATCCTCACAGCCTTTTTCTGGATCACTAAAACTTCACTTATTTTTGAACTATTGCCCCAGTACAAAATAGCATAGAGCAAAACACTATGAAAAAAAGCAAAATAACAAGATCTTAAGTAATGACTAGGTAGGCTAAATCTAAGGCGACGCAACATGTGAACAACTTTGGACAGCTTTGAACAAACCTTAGTAACATGAGTATCCCAAACTAACTTAGGATCAAGATGGACACCTAAAAGTTTAACGCTACTGTCATCATCTGCCTCTTTCGGTGCTCTTACGTCTAGAGAGAAAGTTATATTCTGTGTCTTATTCAAGTTAAGGAGAAATTTGTTAGCTGCATACCATTCAGCTGCCTCTTTAAGAACTACTTCATTCATGGTGCAACAAAGGTCATTAACATTTTTCTCGCTTCTAAAAAAGGTCGCATCATCAGCAAACATGACAGTACTAGCAGAGACATTATCAGGCAAGTTATACTCGTGCTCTGCGTTTGCAATGGGAGAGGACATACGGTTTAAGAATATGTGGTTATTTTAATTTACGGTATACTATAGTATAGCTCATCTACCATAGCCATAATGTTCTTCCACTGCTTCTAAACAATTGAAAAAAGTATAGTTCTCATTGTGTATCACAGCTTTTTGATGCTGCTTGTCATAAATGCAAAAAATAGTGCTGCGCCCTGTCGGTAAACCTTATAGATTTTTAATGCTATTGAATATCATAAAATCAGCTTGTGTAGTTAAAACGGCTAACAAAATATATGAACTAAGAGGTCGTACAGTGAACGAAAACCCTACCAAAAATATGTAATGTACAGACCACCTTTTTATATTTTCATCCTACGCTGTAAATAAAACATGTGATTGGAATTTCTTCCATTGGTCTTATTTTCTGTTTATATGCATTGTTATTACGTCACCAGCGTGACAACCACAGAATATAGATACCTAGGTACAGCAGCTAGTATTTTATAAAACTACCACTAAATCGGTATTGTGTCTTACCGTGCCACCTACGGCAATAGCTACATCCCTATAGTGGAATTCGCTAAAAACAAGTTATTTTGTGAGATAATTAAAAGACCAGCTTGGTTAAAGGTTGGTGTTTCCCTAGGGGCTTAGGGATGACAAGAATTACC